CAACCACACATTGTTCATGCAAGATGCCTAGCATACATAATCTTTGACCACTTCACATTCTACTCCCTAATGTCACATTCTATCAATGACCATTTTTTCCCTTTCTCCTCCTAAATACAGGTGGGCTCTGACCTACCTCTTTCCATGTCCACTTCTATTACCCTACTGCAAGCCTACATCATGTATTTCATCAGGACCACTTCAGTGACTTCCTAAATACAGTAGGGGTACATTCCTTATCCACAGGAGTACATTCCAACACCCCCGGTGGATGCCTGAAACCTCCGAGAGTACCAAACCCTTCATACCGTTTTTTTCCTATACATATATACCTATGATAAAGTTTAATTTCTAAATTAGGCACAGTAAAAGATTAACAACAACTAATAAAATAGAACAATTACAACAATATACTGTAAGAAAAGTTATGAGAAGGGCCAAGTGCAGTGGCTCATGTCTATGCCTGTAATCTGAACACTTTGGGAGGCCAAGGTGGAAGTACCATTTGAGGCCAGGAGTTTGAGACCAGCCTAGGAAACCTAGCAAAAGAAAAGTTTTTTCTCTACAAAAAAAAAATTTAATTAGCCAGCCATGATGGCACACACTTGTAGTCCTAGCTACTTAGGAAGACTGAGGCAGAAGGATTGCTTGAACCCAGGAGTTCGAGGCTACCATGAGCCATGATTACACCACTGCACTCCAGCCTGGGCAACAGAGTGAAACCTTGTCATTCATTTGTTCATTCATACATACATACATAAAAGTTATGTGAATGTGGTCTCTGTCTCTCCCTCTCTCTCAAAATACATTCATGAACCGTATAATGTCAAATCACATATACAACAGTGCTCCCATGAGATTATAATGGAGCTGAAAAATTCCTATCACCTAGTGATAGTGTAGCCATCTTAACGTTGTGGTGGAATTACTTTATTTTTTTTTTATAAATTCGGTGTAGCCTAAGTGTACAATATTTGTAAAGTTTACAGAAGCACACAGTAATGTCCTAGGCCCAACATTCACTCACAACTCACTCACTGACTCACCCAGAGCAATGTGCAGTCCTGCAAGTTCCATTTATTGTAAGTGTCCAATACAGGTTTTATCTTTCATAATAAAAACTATATTTTTTTATCTTTCATACCCTATTTTTACTGTACCTTTTCTATGTTTAGATATATTTAGAAACACAAATACTCAGTATTATGTTCCAATGCCTACAGTATTCAGTAGAGTAACATGCTGTACATGTTTGTAGCCTAGGAGCAATAGGCTGTCACACATAGCCCAAGTGTGGAGAAGGCGACACCGTCTACGTTTGTCTAAGTACACTCTATGATGTTCACACAATGATGAAATCGCCTAACAACGCATTCTCAGAATGTAATCCCATCATTGAGCGATGCATGACTACATCTCATCGTACTGCACTCACCTATTTTCACACCGAGTTTGACTATGGGTAACAGAAACTGAGGAAAGCAAAACTTTGGATGGGGGTTGGGAGGAGACTACTATAGTCTCCCAATATTTACTCTTAACCAACCTGGACCAATCTGTAGAGTGAACCTTCCACAACAGAGTGAACTTCAAAAATGCAAGTTCAAATATACCACTGACCTCTCAAACCCTTCACTGGTTTTCCTACATGATCTACTTATTTACCTGCACAACCTTCCTTCCCTCCTCCCTCATCATTTCACTCTCCGGCAACACTGCCTTTTCTTCTTTCAGTTCTGCAAATGCTCCAAAGCTCATTCCCGCCTCAGAGCCTTTAAACGTGTAGTTTTCATTCTAAATGGAATATTATCCTTCGCGGGACCCTCTTTCACAGTTGGATAACTTCTACTTATCTCTCATGTCCTTACTTAAAGTCAGAGACGGTGTCTCTGAATCTCCAGATTAGATTAGGTGCCATATTATGAATTATCTATACTTTCCTCTTTGGCATATGTCACAATTACAAGTAATTATTTATGCAATTAAGTTTATTTCCTCTGCTATATTGTAAGCTCCATTTCATGGTTGTAGCCCTAACATCTACAACAGTCTCCAGACATGGTAATTCAAAAAATACATAATGGAGAGATGCCGAGGGAACAAAAACATAGGCACACTTGATGAAACACCGGCAATGATTTGGTTCTAAATTACAAGGCAACCTCCCCTCACAGAGGGAAACACTATTATTTTACATGATTTCACCTGTGGGAAAGAAACAATTGCCAACATACATACAGATGCTCCTCCATTTACAAATGGGAACATGTCCCAGTAAACGTATCAAAAGTTGAAAATATCCTGAGCCAAAAATGAGTTAATACACCTAATCTACCAAACATCATAGCTTAGCCCAGCCTACCTTAAACATGCTCAGAATATTTACATCAGCTTACAGTTGGGCAAAACCATGTAACACAAAGCTATTTTATAATAAAGTGCTGAATGTCTCACGCAATGTACTGAACTCGGTATTGAAAGGGAAAAACAGGATGGTTGTATGGCTACTCTAAGTACGATTTCTATCAAATGCTTACCACTTCCACACCATCTTTAAGTCAAAAAATTGTAAATTGGGGACCGTCTGTATAACTAAATCTAATATTAAGACTACAGTCAAAGATAGATTAATCCTTGGTATGATGAGGTATAACTGTTTAGCAATTGGGGAAGAGAAAAACAATGAGATTTGATGAGCTTTTTTTTTTTTTTAAGACAGAGTCTCACTCTGTCGCCGGGGCTAGAGTGCAATGGTGTCATCATAGCTCACAGCAACCTCAAACTCCTGGGTTCAGGAGATCCTCCTGCCTCAGCCTCCCCAGT